TGGCTCTAACTGCATTTAAAACATTCCATTAGGAGGAACTTGAGTACATAAAAGGACAGCTTTCCCGCAGAGGTACAAAAACTACCTCTTAATGGAGTTGAAAATTTACACTGCTTTAACTTCACCCATTTAGTGGCAAAGAAGAGCAAAAGGCTGCTAATGTGGAGGTCATTAAGGGGCCAGGTTCTGGTGCCTTCAAGTTAGTCTCCCAGGAGACTGGCCTGCTAATTCCAGAGGTCTTGCTAGCCACTAGCATTTCAACTCTAACAAAAAATGCCTATCTTACCTTTCCAGACACTCTGCCCCAAAGCCCTGACCCAGTGGAGAATCCTGGATCACCATTTCATAAACAGACTTTGGCTGAGAATTTCTAGTGTGCGTATCCCTAGACACAGCCTCCTTCGCAATACTAAGAAGAAAGCAACTGTTCCTTTGTTGGATTTATGCTCAGGAGAAAGCTTGTCTCAGTAAGAGCAGAAGGTCAAACAAGCAGGAGGCCTTGTTGATGTCCTTCATACGTAGAGACACAAATGGCTGTAAGCAAAGCACCAATCTCCTCATGTGCCCTTATGTTCCTCTTATGAAGCCAATTACTCTCAACATTTCTATAGCAACAGCAGCTAAGACATGCCCCATTGTGTGCTACAGCTTCTCTATCACATCACAATGATATGGTCACTCATCAGATCTATTCCTTATATGTCCATCAGTTTCATGATACAAAAAAGTAACACACCTGCTCACTCCTTATCTATGACATTAAGGAATTATCTAAATATATAACTTTATAAAACAGAGCACTCTGGTACTTCGAAGGTAAATAATGTACCCAATGCCATAATCCGAGAGCTAGGACCAAGATAGATAGATTCTATTTAAATCGTTTTACTTCCCAGTAAAGTTTTAGTGCTCTTAATTTTAATCTGTTTATTTATTCAAAACTATAAGAATAACCAAAACTGATCATTTACAAGATCTATTGACTTTACTATTAACAATACAAGCATCAATTAAAATAACTAGGACATAGTGTACTTATCACATTGACTCTAATGGATAAATCTATCTAACAGGAAATAGCACGTAGTTTAATATATGAACTCATTGTTTGCAATGGTCTTGTCAACCAGAAACAGTTTTCTAAAGAAACACTTCAAGGTGCTAGATGTGGTGGCATATCCCAGCACCTACAAAGTCGAGGCAGTACAGCTCTGTGTCATGAGTTCTGGGTCAAAACCCAGAACTCAAGGAAGGCAAAGCCAATGCCTTCAGTACTACATCATATCTGAGTTGATAATCTAAATTAAAAACATATGCTAAGTAATTTGAATGATATAAATATTTCACTCAATGTTCTCTAAGCATATTGCAACGACAAAAGACTGGGAAATGTATTTTGCATGAAAATGTAGTTCACAAACATAATGTAAACCTAAACAGGTTAGAGGCTAAAAGTGAAGATTACCACCAAGGCACATTGTACACATATTCATATCGGGTTAATACATAGAAAACAAGTGAAATACATGTGAAGAGTGCTACAATACCACACCGAATCAAATCTGTCTAGTCACAGATGCTGGTGCACAAAGAGTTAAGAATCCAAGAGACCTTAGGACTATACTAATGTGAAAAACCAAGTATGAAGCTATTACTGGACATTTAATGTCAGAGTATACAAATATTAAATTTAAATGTGATTATAGGCTTATCAATAACCAATTAGGAAGAAATTTAATTTTTGTTTTACAGGCCTCACTCCTGGATCAAGATTCAGACATGAGTGGCTGGTCCTTATATAGAAATAATTAACTAAGCCCCTGCCTTCGATGTTCCTAGTCCATCAATTAAGTAAAAACACTAACAACAAACAAAACAAAAAGAAAAGAAAGTCCCACTAACTGGTACCCAGGGGACTTAATTTTCTTGGCTTTGTTCATGATTTCATTGGGACACTTGTGTCCAGCAGTGTGACAAGAGGCTCTTTGGCTGGATCACGGGGACAGTATCTCTGATTCTAGAACTTTAGCTCCTGGAGAGAGATGCACAGCCCTTATGCTGTCCTTTTTACTAAGTCTACCTTTAATGTAAGCGTGTTCTAATGCTTCTTCCTCTTTCTCTATTCTCTCTGTATGCTCAGCATGCAGCTTATTAGAACCATGAAAGTTTAGTAGAAGTTGAAGTGCTAATATTTTCGAGGGCACAAGGCCTGTGTTGAACTCTGGAATCAATTCCGGACAGGAGGTCTTTGAGTAAAGTGGAAGCAAATTTTGATAAGACTTCAATTATCTTTCTGAGTAGCTATGGAAAGATGTCATTAAAGGACCCCGATTACAGGTTCTTATGATGGGGAGAAATCACCGAAGAGATAGTAAGGTTCTTCATTATCTGTATTCACACAGCTCCTCCAAGTGTATGATTAAATATCTCCCAGATAGTCTTCCTTGCTGTGAGTGCAGTGCACGATATGCAACCCGAGCACAGAGTTCCAGCATCCTAAATAATCTCAGATATCTTATCCTTGCAACAGAGTCTGCATTCTGAGCCGTCGCACTATAGAAAATGATTAAAAATATGAAATTGGAGTCTTGTTACTCACCCTGGAAAGCAAACATTAAGGGGAAAAAAAAAGAAGATAGGCATATCCAAGAAGGAAAATGGCTTCCTAGAGCAAAGTGAGTCTGAGTCTGACTGCACACATCAGCAATGGTAAATAGGTCCCCAAATCTAATTATAACTAAGCTCAAATGTTTTTCAATAAATTAAGTTCAATAACTTTTCCTGAGTAGACCAAGGGTGCTTACAAAGATTGCCTCATCACATCTTTAGGAGTCTTATGGAAAGATAGTGCCATCATTTCCATTACATAGATGAGAAAAACTGAGGCTCAGAAAGATCAAGTAACTTGCCCAAGATGGAAAGCTTTGACTGAACCCATTTCAAACTCATGTTCTTTGCATACTGTTACACAGTTTCTCAGTATTGTAAGACTTTTGCTGACAAAGCATGAAAATAAACAGCTGGAGAAGGCTTCCACAAAAGCATTGTTAGAATAGCAACAGTCAGAGTCACAGTTAAAAAGGGATCAAACAGGAGCTATAAAAAAGTAACTGCTCCGTGTAAGAAGACGGCTAGATGACTCTACAGGGTTTGCTGATGTTGCTGCTAAAACTTGCAGCAATAAAAACGATTTCACAACGGTGGCCTGAGTCATTAGAAAGTGCAGCCCACTTAAAAGAGGTCAGACTTATAAGAGGCCTTTCTCTTCTCAACCAAGATTTCAAAGGGTGGTACTTGAACTGAATGAACTAAGAGGTGGGATTTTTGTGGAGTGGACGTTATCTTATGTGGACAATGCTGCTTCCAGAACAACAGGGAATTTACAGTCTGAATAACTAAATACAACCAGTATTCCCCAAATCACAGGACCAGGAGGACACGTGACTCGTGCAGTCCTGGCTCTGTGTCCGATGCTAAGAAGGAAGCTACCTTTCTCCTGTATCTCTATTCTCACTTCCAACATCAGCAGCTAGGCAAGGGACCTTAAAATGGTTTCTTCTCTTTTTTTTTCCTCCCAGGTCTATTAGCTGATGACATTATAATGATATTACATGTGTTTAAGTTGCTCCTGGAGACAAAACAAAATAAAATCGAACCTTAAAGATACAACGCAATATTATATGATTATATAAAATTTCAGTCATGGAAAACTGAGCTCTGTGCTACACGCCCCTGTGTTTCAATAAGCTAAATTTTTCAGAATATTGTTACCAACTGTGCTGGCTAGTTTTATGTCAACTTGATACAAGCTAGAGTGACTGAAGAAGAGAGGATCTCAATTAAGTAACTGTCTCTATAAGACTGGGCTGTAGGCAAGCCTGTGGGGTATTTTCTTACTTAGTGATTAAGAGGGGAGGGCCTAGCCCATTGTGGGTGGGGCCATCATGAGCTGGTGGTCCCAGGTTCCATAAGAAAGCAGGCTGAGTGAGCCTTGGGGAGCAAGCCAGTAAGTAGCATGGCCTTTGTATCAGCTCCTGCTTCCATGTTCCTGCCCTGACTTCCTTCAGTGTTGGAAATATAAGCCGAAATAAACCCTTTTCTCCCCAAGCTGCTTTTAGTCACGTTGTTTTGTCATGGCAAGAGTAACCCTAATTAAGACACCAACCAAGGCAGAAATGACAATAACTGAACTCCAGGGAGATGCAAATTTCTGAGTCCCTGTACCTTCTCCCTATGGTTGGAATGCCTTGGCAGAGGAGCCAACCATGACTATTTCAAAGGTTTGCAAAAGGTACTACTTATCCCATGAATATGTTCTGCAGATAGATCAAAGCCAAAAAGAGATAGTAAAAAAAAAATTACTTTGGACAGGAAATAGGTTTCTTATTCATCAAACTATAGTATCAGAAGGTAGCTTAGTAGATTAAGGAACCATGTAAAATACTGATAAATGTGGCTTATTTTCTAAGCTATGCTACTCAAAAATAGCTTTATTCTTTTAAAACAGAAAACCATTTAGATACTTCAAGGTAATCTATAGCAAAGAGCTTCTCTACATCATAGACAACCTGGGGGGTTGGGGAGGTAAAAATGATTCTGTAGAGATATTTAGTCCAGAAGTTTGGAAGACCACTGACAATTTCAGTCATCTGCTAACTCCTCTTCCCCAAAGTCCTGGGACTTCAAATGCTGAATGAGACTGTGTAACAGGAGCTAGGACTCTGCCAATGAGGAACCCTTCGTATACACCACAGAGAATATATTGTTTCTACATACAAGCATGAAAACCACAGGCCAGAAAAACCTTGCTGGCAGACCTCAAATTGAAAGGCAGCATTCTCCCAACACAATTTTCTAACCTCATGTGATGCTAACTATATAGAAAAAAAGATACAGGGTGACAATTTACATATGTACACATCTTTTCAAGTTCAAAGAACTGACGGCGACCGGTATTTGGTCAAAGGCAGAGCAGAGGAAGACCCAATGTGAGGACTTACAATGTAGCAGGGCTCACAGTAGGCCTTCTTCTCCACGGCATAGAAAGGCTGTCCTCGGAGCTTGTTGTTACAGACGATGCAGGTGAAGCAGTCCACGTGGAAGACCTGATCCATGGCAGTGCATCCTGTCCCTTCCCCAACCACGTTCTCCCCACAGCGAGCACAGCGGCCTGGAAGATAAAGGGTTGCTTGTTACAAAGGAATTCCAAGATCCTCCCAAGGAAACCGAGATGAGAGAGACAGCAGGTTCAACCTGTAGCCGCTGGAGACACAGCACTATTGGCATTACTACACTAACCAGCAAACTCACTGCGGTCTCCACTGCCATCACCACACTAACTAGCAAGCTCACCACACAGTCTCCACTGCCATCACCACACTAACTAGCAAGCCCAACACAGTCTCCTCTGGAATAGCAGGAGTCTACCTGAGTCAACTGGGCAGACAGCTAAGGCTCCTGAGAGAGTGATGGAGGAAAACACACGCTTGATGCTGAGTCCAGGGCACGGCCTCTAATCACATACATGTAAGCGCAGGACTCAGGATGTTGGGACTGAAAGGACAATCTACTGAACAGAACACTTCCGGCAAGCCTTTGTCCCTGGAGAGTCTGCACATCAGTCAGCGTGTGCGCTTCATTTCTTTTTCTAGTCCTGGTTGTCAATCCTCTGTAGTTGGCCCTCAGTGATGGCCAGATCACGTGGTAGGTACACACCTCTATTTCCGGAGCACTGAGGCTGTTAGAAAGCTTTCTTCTGTGGAGTCACTAATGTAGCCCCACTCTGACTGCTGCCCATGATCCTAGTTCTGATCTCCGGGTTCAGGAAGCGAGGCTCATCTCATACACTCATGCACCATCTAAGATCCTAGACTCCAGTCAGCACCACCTCTCAGTCTTAGCTTGAACATCATGTAATGGTTCCACTTAATGTATAGGGTTGGGAGTTCCTTAGGCCCTGGATCTCACTGTCTGTCCATTGTTCTGTGAAGCTACAGCATTCTTAAACTGCTTAAGAAAGCTGACACAGCTGTATGTCCATCAGGTTATATTTTAAAGAACATATTAGCATTCTAACAGTCATAGAATATAATTTAGGATAAAATTTTTAGGACTAGGTGTACTTCAGTGATAGAGCATTTGCTTAGTATGTCTAGGATCATGAATTAAAACTACAGGACCAGAAAGAAGAAAAATTAATAAAGAAGGGGGTGGATGGGATTAGCTCGAGTGAGAGGCTCTGTATCTCAATACCCTGGGATTGCGAGGGCCACAGCCACCTTGACCCCTTCAGTTCATGTCTACTAGGCAGAAACAAGACCCAACTAGGTAACCAGAGGCAACTGGGAACATCAATAAGCACCTGTAGGCTTTTGTGCATAGACTAGCTTCGTGGATGGCTGACATTTTCTTGAAACTCTTCTATCAGCTCATTTCTTATTCATGACACTCTATGTGGACATATTACTATTATTCTTACTCTAAAGATGAGGAAAGTTAAGTTACAGAAAATATTTAAATAACTTCATGCCCAAGCAGCCTTGAGTATTGCCTACTCCAACCCCACGGCTCCATTGCCCGTTCTGAGCTCTGTATGAACATCAGTGCAGATTTGGCATTATGGAGCATTATGGAATGACTTCGCACTGGAGAAGGCTTTCAGCACCCCATCACATTGGACTGACAAGCCACTTCACACTCAGAACTGGGAGGGGTAAATGTTTCACTAAGAAGAGGTAAATATATTTCTCTCTGATTGCACTTGGTTCTGGAAATATTCCTTTGTATTCTGTTGCAGGATTGGAGCACATCTTTAAAAAATTAAACAAACAAACTTGAAGTATCATCAATCAAACACTGGGAAGAGTTCAAGTTTAAAAAAATGGACTGCCTCTGCTACAGTTGTATTATTGTGAAATTTCCATGTTGTGAAATTTATGTTGTATTTTTTTATATTTAATACAATTATGATATTTGTTATATGGTTTGTAGTTGTTTTCAAATAAACTTCTATCCAAGAGTTACATTACACTTATTTTTTAGTATTAGACACAGAATTAGAAATGCTCCTTTAAATTCATGTACCTTTTCTGCTAATAGTAAGAAAATTAATTTCATTTGGTACCATTTTTGTGATTATGCTGAAAACAACAATACCCCTTTTCCAAACCTTACTGGTTTACTATAAAACTGAGTATGCTCTGTTTGAAAATTGATGATATACATCTGAGAATTTCTTGCTAACAAATGACAGTTGATTGTAGAAAACATATGGAGGGGTGGGGCAAAGAGATCAATCCATGTAAATATTATTAAGAACCCACTGAATTCCCATGAGAAGTATAATTTTATAATATAAATTAAATATAAGTATAAATATAATATAATATAAATAACACACTTATTTTTCTATATTAACTTTTTCTTTCTGTAAGTCAAAAGGATCACTTAATAGAATGCTGAGAAGCACATAGGATCTAAGAAGTATACTTTGCCAAAATAAAGATGGGATCATGTGATGCCCACGGTGGCTGGCTCGGCAGCAAAAGTAGCTGATTGGGTTTTGACCATGTATGTTCAAAGTGCAGTCTATGACATAGAGCCCGAGCCTATAAGGCATCGGCAGAGCTGGACATATCCTCGGTCTGGAACACCTTTAATCACTAGCTTACAGGAAAAGCCTGCTCTGGAAAGGAAAGTTTCAGTTTTCAATCTACCGAGCGGACACTCCAAGGGTCTGCTCTTTGTCCAGTACGACAGTCTGCTTTGGTGTGACAGGAAGAAGTGGACTAGTCACCATCTGTGCTTCTTACTGTGACTATGACACCTCATGTGTCCAACAATCCATGACAACATGTGCGGCGTGCTGTAGGAAAAAGTGCTATAGAAATGTGCAAGGGAAATCACCTCCAAGAATACTCTGGAAGAGGTTCCTGAGGTAACAGGCAACTGAATTCGACCTTAAAGCACCGAATGTTGACAGGTAGAGGTTGAAGACAAAAAAACACTGCAGCTTTTTCCACAGAAAGGATGAATATCTGTGGCTTACTGGAGGCAAAACACTGTAGTGCTTGGTGATGGCACAAAGTTTTGTCTGCTCGCCACAAAGCAGATGGCCTGCATTCCCAGAAACAATTCCCTCTTTATGTCTGGGGAATATTCTTCCAGAGTAGGTCAGGCTAATGTGCTGGACCCAGACATGACCAGTTCTGTTACCCCCTGTATTTTTCCTGTTCTTGGGATAAATTAGGGACACCAGCCTCAAGGGCAGCCAGTCTGGCACCTGACGATTCACAGGCACAGTAAAAAAAAAAAAAACAGCAAAGAACAAAAGTTAAAAATAGCTCTACAGACCAGCAACAGAGAAAAGGTGCCCAAATGTTCCCCCTTTACATTAACAAAAATGTACAAACTGTTCCTTGGAGAGGGTATTGAGAGTGCAAGGCGAGCACCTGAAGCCTAGGGTATCCTAGCTCCCCGTGGGACTTAGGCTATACCTTAGCGAAAGCACACTACAACCGTGACGCCCATCTTTTAGACAAAAGTCTCAGTGCTTTTAATAGGTAAGGCCAGAGGAATGTTGACAGGCTTCAAGGCATCAGGGCATGAAGGAAGCACAGTTGAGTAGGCCCCAGGAAGCAGGGGCTGTGACCCCCGGCCAGCACACAGGGCTTCTAAGCAATGCTTAGCAAATCAAATCAAGCAAGGGCGGAGGACCAAGAGCCTACACACATACCGAAAGTTTTTTATATATTATTAATGCCTGTGGCCAGCTTCGGGTCCTGTGCACCCTTCTCCTCTTTCCCATGGGCAGCGACTTCCTTAATGTTGATGAAACCAATGATGTAAATCAGGTTTCCTTATCCTGGGACACTGCAAGGGCTTCCACATTGTTCTGAAACCCATGGTTGTCTTACTACTACAAACAGAAAGGCCTTACGGGAGTCTTAATAATTGGGCTAAACTTGGATGGCCAGATTGGATTTCAAATGGATAATAGGCAAGATGTCAGTAGAGAGTGGAAGTCTAGGAAGACCAACAGGCTGAGCAAGTACAGGTTATGAGTATCCAGAATTACTTTCATGCTTGGAGTTTGTGTTTACTTTATAACTTGCAAACAGAATTTTACGTAAAAACACTTTCCTAATAATCACTGTATGCAAAGGGCATTTTCCAGAAAGTGTGTAAGGACTCTGCTCTGTTCCTCACACTCTGCTACCCTCCCCTTTCCAGCCCTTATCCCCTCTTGTTAGTCCCTTTGTTATTGGGCTGGCTAGTTTTATGTCAGCTTGACATAAGGCATGGTCTGAGTGGAAGGAACATTGATTGAGAAAATTCCTTCACTGGATCATGCTCTGGTGGAGAATTTTCTCAATTAGTGATTGATGAAGGAGGGCCCATCCCACTGTGGATGTCGCTACCCCTGCGCTGGTGGTCCTGGGTTTTATAACAAAGCAGGTTGACTAAGCTACAAAGAACACGCCAGTATGCAGCAACCTTCCATGGCCTCTGCATCAGCTCCTGCCTCCAGGTTCCTGCCCTGCTTCAGTTCCTGTCCTGATTTCCTTCAGTGATGAACTCTGATTCGGAAGTGTAAGCAAAATAAACCCTTTCCTCCCCAAGTTGTTTTTGGTCATGAGGTTTTATCAAAGCTATAGTAACCCAAAGACAGCTATCCCAGACAGTTTTATTTCTATTTTGGCTGTGTATATGTATGTGTACATGTATGTATGTATGTATGTAAAATCTAGGAACCAAAAGTTAAAAAAAAAAACATGAAATGTCTTTCAGAGAATTAATTAGCTTGATAAAATTATCTCCAGTTGTATTGATTTTCCTACAAATCATTACTTCATTCTTCTTCTTCTTTTTTTTTAAGTGAAACATGGGCCATAGAGGAATGCTGCTTACTGGCTTTGCTCCCCATAGCCTGCTTTCTTTTTCATTTTTAAAAACATTAATTAGTTAATTGTACATTTTAATTAAAATATAATTATCCTACTTCCCCATCCCTTTCCTGCCTCCAGTCCCTCCCTGGCCTACCCCACTCTCAAACTGATATCCTCTTTTTCTCTTTTATTGTTTTAGACACACACACACACACACACACACACACGCACGTGCATATCATCTTGTGTCCATTTTTGTTTGTGTGTATGTGGTTTCAGGGCT